TTTTATTTTCTAATAATATTGCTTTCAACTTAATTTCAGTCGCTTCTCATTGCAATTTGTCAGACTGTCATTCTCCGACCGTTAGCAAATTGTTTCTTACAATCTTGTGAAATTTCCGGGGAATTTCTTTTTAATTTCGAGAGTGACCACAGCAGTGATCTAAATGCATGCATCGAAATAGACACTTAGATACTTGTTTTGTTAGGGCGACAAATAACAAGGCTCATAAAATTGAACGAGAGAGAGAGAGAGAGAGAGAGAGAGAGAGAGAGAGAGAGAGAGAGAGTGAGTCACTGGTAGGCTGGAATCAACGAAATGTTTGCTTTACTTAGCGAAAGGGAATCACTAAGTTTACTGCCCTTGTCTGTTCAACCCAGCAATGTTGACGCTAATCGACAAGGTCGTGGGAGTCACAATTCTGATGATCCGATGGTAATCAAAAGTTTGTAGGCATTAAAAACAAAGCCGAACCGGTTTACCCTACCTTTGCCGTCTATCCACATACACTACAATGAAAATAAACAACAGAAAGAAATCTGTTAGAATACCATCACTGAAATAAATAAATAAAAATAAAGAAACATAAAAAAAAATGCATAAAACACTTGTGTCCCTAAATTTCGTCTACTGAACCCGAGTGTATTTTTAGGAATACAAGAATAAAAGAATATATTCGGAATTTAAGAATATATTCAGAATATAAGAATAAAAGAATATATTCGGAATATAAGTATAAAAGAATATATTTGGAATATAAGAATAAAAGAATTTATTTGGAATATAACAATATATTCAGAATATAAGAATAAAAGAAAATATTCGAACTATAAGAGTAAAAGAATATATTCAGAATTTAAAAATATAAGAATATATTCGTTATATAAGAATAAAAGAGTATATTCGGTATATAAGAATAAAAAAATATATTCGGTATATAAGAATTTATTCGGAATAAAAAATATATTCGGAATATAAGAATAAAAAGAATATATTTGGAATATAAGAATATATTCAGAATATAAGAATAACAGTATATATAAAGGAATATAAGAATATATTCAGAATATAAGAATAAAAGAATATATTCAGAATATAAAAAAAAAGAATATATTCGGTATATAAGAATAAAAGAATATATTCGGAATATAAGAATGAAAGAATATATTCTGAATATAAGACTATATTCAGAATATGAGCATTAAAGAATATATTTGGAATAGAGGAATAAATTCGGAATATAAGAGTCAGCAAAAAAGAAAGAAAAAAAGAACAAATAATAATAATACACAATGCATAAAATATTTGCTTCCACGATTTTTCGAAAGAAAACACTAACCTTTTATGCTTTACCCTGTCTATTCAAAGCGTACCTAACCATTTTAAATATCTCTGAGGCAGTATGTACGACCTTGATGATTAATTAAAAGAAGACATTACAGCGAATGCGCAGACACTCACCAGTGAGGTTACTCAGTCGGCAGTGCGATTGAGTTTCTGTAAACGTCACAGTTATCATAAGATTGAGCCAACTTATTTTTCATGTCCTGTGCAGGATCTTTCCATTTATTTTTGTTTTTTTTTGTGGGGGGATAACATAACATACCATCACTCTCGGGAAAAGATAAAAATCACAACGACTTTGCAAATGGCGACTCTAAAGAAAGACGCCGGCATACGGTCCCCAAAGAGGAGTGATTTGAGTGATTTCGGATTAAGACAGCGTTAAATATTTTAAAAGTGTTTTAGCAGTGGGTGGAAAATCTGACACCGAAATCCGAAGGTAAGTTTAAATAGTGTTGGGGCGCACCCACCTTCTAACTAGTAATGGACTGGTCCCTCTTATATAAGTCAGCTCTGGAGAGAGAGTGACAGAGCGTCAGAGAGAGAGAGTCAGCGTGAGCAGTCCAGATAAGCTTACCCGGTACATACCGTTGGACTATAGACTTTGGATATTGTTTCGTACTAACCAACCTTCGTTCTACTAATCACTCTATTGTTAATTGCTTTTACAAATATACCAGTATTTTCCTCTACAACTGTGTTTGTCTTGATTCTTACACCAACACGCGGGAAACTCACAACATCTCAAATAGTGAAAGATTTTTTCCAGAAGCTAAGCAAATTATTAAGAAATAGGAAAATTTCATTACAAACAAAGACAGAAACGCTGGACTGCAATGTGATATGCCAAATGCTATATGGCTGTGAAGGCTAAAAAATGACCCCACAGTTGAAGAGGAAACTGGTAGCAATAGATATATGGCTCTACAGAAGGATGATGAGAATACCATAGACGGAGCATATGGGCAATAATTATGGAAATTGCTCTGACGAATCCTATTCCTTACTTACACCAGGTCTAACCTTCATGGCTGGCACCTTCCATGCAACTTACATTGTAGCACATCACCCACATTCCCTATGCATTCCATCGGTGAGAAGTAAGTTCTACTGGAACAGCTTCTTCCCGCGGACCACTTCTCTGTGGAACAGACTCCCAAGAGAATCTTTACCCAATCACTACAATCTTAGCCTATTCATATCTAACCGTTATCCCTCCTCCTATCCATATAAACTACTCCTTAATGTAACCCTCTACCACGAGTGGCTCGCGGGTCTTGTACAGGGTGAAAATTAGTGTAAAAAGTTTTAAGGAAAATGAGTGTGAAAAGAACACTTACAATTAGAATCAGAGAAAAGACAGATGATATATTGATATTTAGAAAAGGGAGCTTGGAGAATTTGACACTCACAAGTCATATTGAAAATAAGAGGAATAGATAGAAACAACAAGTAAAAGGCAAAAAAATATTTAAATGGACTATTGACAGGGGATTTGATAATATAATTTTCCCGCAATATATATATATATATATATATATATATATATATATATATATATATATATATATATATATATATATATGATAGTTTAAAGGACAAGTCATTTTTATCATTTCTATCTTGATCTCTGACGAAGGTTTTATAAAATGAAACCTATCAGATTGAGATCAGTTTCTTCTTTATCCTCTCATTTGGTCGGATTCCTATCCATACTTGATCTATATCTGATCTTATATATATATATATATATATATATATATATATATATATATATATATATATATATTCTTGTTATTGACAGTATAATTGTTTTTCTTAAGACAAACGATATTTGTACAAAGACTTGTATTTTTTATTTTTCATACTTGTTGCATTTTTAGACATAACTTGAAGACAGAAGTACTGTTGAAAAATAGTTAAACAATGTGTCTTTTCTTTTCTTAAATCACGCTCTTTTCTAAATCATTCAATCACTTTGTTTATTATATATATATATATATATATATATATATATATATAATTAAGTTATGCAAATCTTGATAATCCGTATGGATAACCCCAAGGAGGATGAAATCCGGAGAGCTCAATGTTAAATCAGAGCGATTAATTTAATGAAAACAGACAACTTTAAGGGTCCATGTTTATAATTTATTTCCCCATATATATATATATATATATATATATATATATATATATATATATATATATATATATATATATATATAAAAGAACAACAGCAAGATATATAATCCGGTGTTCTTATTTTTGCAAAATAGTGCTCAATGTAAATTTACAGAGCATTAATATTATAAATTAATTGATTTAAAATATGTTTTTTTTCGCTACACAGTTCTAACCATTCAGGGCTTTTTAGCTTCCATTTTGAAACATGGTTAGAACTGTGTAGCGAAAAACATATTTTAAATCAATTAATTTATAATATATATATATATATATATATATATATATATATAGCATAATGAGAAGCCACGTATACTTTCTTAATATATATATATACAGAAAAAGGAAGGACGCTACTTGCTAACAAACAGTAATTTTAATTTATTTGTAACAAACAGTTATTTCTGATGAAAAATTGAGGACAATTTGAAATATCAAATATATATATAAATAAATAAATACTTTCATAAAATAAAACATTATTATTTTTTAATTTGAAACTTTATATATATATATATATATATATATATATGTAATACCTAATTGTAATTGGTAGGGATTATTCCAAAAGAGGAATTTGCATACAAATATATATATATATATTTTGTGTGCAAATTCCTCTTTTGGAATTACAATTAGTTATATATATATATATATATATATATATATATATATATATATATATATATATATATAAATAAATATATATATATATATGTGTGTGTGTGTGTGAAATGTGTGTGTGTATATATATATATATATATATATATATTACATTTGTGATTTTTGTGCGCTTTATATGAAGGAAAACGTTATTTTATACATTGTTGAAAAATTTTAATTTTTGAAAAACCAATGTCAGCACCCAAACAAGAGCTTTTACTACCTTTTAAACATGACTTGAAGAAGACAAGCATGCTGTTGAAACATAGTTAAACATTAAATCTTTTCTTTTCCTGAATTACACTCCTCTCTAACTCTTGTAAAATACTGGAAGAATTACGTCAATCATTTAATTTATTATTATTATGATTATTATTATTAGTATTAGTATGTATGTTATAAGTATAAAAAGAAAGAACGACTGACTGTTCCTAGAAAGTATTTTAGATAGCTCTGATCTAAACGATATAATTTTGATGAGCAGTTGGTAGGTTTTGTCTATTACAAGTTTTCAGAATAAGGCAACGTATCAAAACTGCTATTTACTATCAAGAACGAGTGACGAGTGAAGATTTACGCAAAAGAGGACTACTGTGAAACTAATTCTTTTATTCGTTGTTTAAAGAATTTGAGATTCAGGACAAAAAGAATTCTGTTAAAGCCGAATTAATATTTTCTAAGCCATTTCTTAAACAATAAGAATGTGTTTTTTTTCTTAATCTGATTAAACTGGAATGTTTAGATGCAAAGATGGACGAATTAAAATAACTCAACCTCATGATCTGACCTTCTCAGTAGTTTATTTTACTTGCATGTACGTTTCTTCTTCCTCTTCTTCTTCTTCCTCTTCTTCTTCTTCTTCTTCTTCTTCTACCTGCTTTTTCTTCTTCTTCTTCTTCTTCTTCTTCTTCTTCTTCTTCTACCTGCTTTTTCTTCTTCTTCTTCTTTTCTTTTCTTCTTCTTCTTCTTCTTCTTCTTCTTCTTCTTCTTCTTCTCGTCCTTCTTCTTCTCTATGATGTATCCTTTCAGGATGTGGGCGATCATGACTCTCCATAACTTCTTATCTCTTGTAGATCTTAGCAACGCTTATCCTTTCGCCATCACTCTACGCCCCCTCCGTTCTCTCATCCATTCATCCAAATTAATCAGGTAGGTGACATGCTGTTCACCTTTGTCTCTTTTACCTTTAATATTTTTCGTGAGTGCTAATTTCTCCGAGTCTTCCTTCCTCATTATGCGTCAGCTGTCTCTTTCTAATTCTGAATTTTCGTATTCTTTTTGTCATCATTTTCCTTAAGACATATTTGTTGCTTACACACTCTCTCCATGATATTCTCAACATCCTTCTGTAGAACCACATTTCCGTTGCCTGTAGTCTCCTCTTGATCTGCGAGGAAATTGTCCAGCATTCACTGACATATAGAAGGACTGATATTATTTAGCAAGTCACTATTCTTTTCTTTGTTTCTAATGGTTTTTTTTCTGGGTTTTAGTACTTTGCTTAGCTTTTGGAATACAACATTTATTATTCCAGTGCATCTTCGGCTTTCGGTGCCACATTTTCCATTCTCTGTTAAAACACTTCCCAGATATTTCAACTGCTGTACTTATTTGATTTTGGCATCTCCAATTCGTAGTTGGCATCTTGGATCTTTTCTTTTACTGACAACCGTACATTCTGCCTTTTTACATTTGATAGTCCTTTCTTCTTTCTTTTTTCCCATAACTGATGCAATAAGTGCACATTCTATTACTGTCACTCTGTGCCAGACTTAAACTAAGAAATTATTTAAGGTCCAACGTTGTAGATTCATTGTTACTGCTGTCGTGAGTTCGAATTTCACTGAATGCCCTACAATTTTACCTTTATTTATTTTCTTTTTTAACTATTGTTCATCCAGTACAAGACAAAATTCGGTTTGAACCGCTAACCGTTACACTACCCGTGCATTCAAAATCTTTAGAATTCTCCTAATGTTGAGACATAGTTAGGAAACTATTATTTATTGATCAGACTGATAAATTTCTTTATTGGACGTTGGCCTTCCCGAGATCTTTCATTTTGCCTCTCATGGGGAGGAATTGGGCCATCACTCTACCACGTGTTTTAGGGGTTTACAGCACCTGGTATTCCCAAGTAGTTATCCATCCAATTACTGATCAGCTGTTTAGCTTAAAATGAGTACCAATGAAGACAATTAGTAAGTTTTTTTTTTGTAAATTACTACTTTCATCATTATCGTAACCATCACTCATAACTTGGTGTAATCGTAGAGTCGCTGCGCAACTGAACAAATGACCAGTTCCCTCCACATATCTGAGTTGCAAGCTGGAGAGGTAATCATTCATACGTTGCCTGTTTTGGGTAAGTAGACCATGTAGAGCCGATCCCATCTCCAGGTTAAATCAAGGCCGATATCCTCCAACTTCAAGGCCCATCTTAATCACGGACGTATGGCTGTTAATATCATCGGGGCGAAGCCTCCACCCTGGCAGTTGAATTCAGTCAAGGAAGTACATCGGCCATCGATGCCGTGTCATCGCCGCACTCGCTGCATACATGGTTAAGGAGTCCAGTCCACATCACTGTGCCCGTGAAATCTATAAGAAGGTGTATTTACCCTTTTTAATTCTATCTTTGATTCTTTTTTTATTTAGAACAGTATATCATCATCACCATCACCGTGAACAAAATGTGGTCATAGGGTCGTTGCGCAACAGGTCACATGACCAGTTCCCTCCACATATCTGGGTTGAAAGCCAGTTGAAAGCGCAGCAAGTACACCTGGCGGATCCCATCCTTTCACAGGTCAATCCACAGTCGATGCCCTTAAACTTGGAGGCTCATCTTGGTTACGCACACATGGCCGTTGATTTCAATCTAGGAAGCCCCACGCCAATCGATGTTCTTTCATCATCGTACTGGCTGCACGGATACCTATGGAGTCAGGTCTTCATGATCTATGGCCGTTGACATTATAAGAACGTTCATCCATCCTTAGTCAGGTCTTATTTTTAATCCTGTGATGAAGATAAAAAATTCGCTTCATAGATCCTCAATGATTATGATGCGATATACATAGTTTGAGTGAGTACCAACTGAAACATAGATCAGGACACAACTCCAGACAATAGAATCTTCCTCGTCATCATCAGTCCCATAACTGGATATGGTTATAGTGAAGATGAGTACCTGGCCAGTTCCTTCCACAGATCTGGATTGAAAACCTGAGAGTTATTCATTCGTTTATTGTGTATCTTGAGCAAGTTAACCTGGCGGTGCCTATTCCTCACCAAGACAAATCACAGCCGATGTTCTCCAACTTGAAGGTTCATTTAATTCACGGACATGTGGCCATTAATTCCATCAATGAAAACCTCCACACTGGCAGTTGACTTCAATCTAGGATTCCTTCGATGACGTGTCATCACTGCATTGGTTGCATACAGCTACGTAGCCCAATCTACTTCGTTGTGCTGGATGACCATCGGCCCTAAAAGAATGTTCATATGCGCTTTTGATAAGTCTGCTGGGAGTCAAGCCACGGTCATCACCAGTAAAGTCTAGTAGAGGTTTGGTCTGGTTTATTTTGTTTTACGGCAATGGGTTATTTAATACCGACAAGATTTTTAGCATTAGTTTTGTATGAATAGAATATGTATTTATTACTGGTAATTTTTTTCAAAAAGGTACTGCAGGTATTTTTATAATAAAAATCTATTTTTATATTTTCGTAGTGTTTTGACCCCAGTTAACTATTTGCCCATAGCTGGCACACTAACAGATACTACCACTCCAGATCAGAGAAAACCTGAGAACAGTGGAATTTATGAGGTAGTTCCACGCTCTTCTAAGCCTCCCGATCAGAGGTCTTGCTTCAGGATGTAGTTAATCGTCATACCCAGGACGCTCTGGTGGAGGAATTGTCTTAGTCGCAGATAACCCTATTATGCGACAGATCACATGGGTATGAGTGGCATTCGTAGAGTGACCTTACATAATTATTTAGATTTAAAGAACATCGTAAATTTAAGAAAGAAAAATAGAGTTTAGCACAAGATCACAAGTATGGAGCACTCGAGAACGGCCAATTGAATTAGGAAATATTGTTTATTTCGAAATATTTACTTGATTGTAACTCTATAGACTCGTCTGTGGAATGTACGACCATAGCCACAACATACTTCTTCTGTGCCGCATCTATTCAGAACATATGTGATCATGGCTCTCCACAACTTCCTTTCTCGTGAGACATTTAGCAGTTTTCCTCTTTTTGTTAAGACTCCTACCCCCCCTTCTTCCGCAAATCCATTCATACGAGCTTGTCAGGTAAGTGGCTCACTGCCTACCGCTATCTCTCTTGCTCTCAATATGCCGCGTTTTCCAAGGCCTCCTTCCACATTATGCGTCCAAAGAATTTAAGCTGTCTTTTACTGATTCCGGGTAGAAGTCTTCTTTTTGTTACCATTTTCTTTAAGAGTTCCTTGTTCCTTACTCGTTGGAATTTTCAGTATCTTTCTGTAGAACCACATTTCATCTACCTCTATTTTTTTGTTTCCTCATCGATGGGGAGAGTGTCCAGCATTCACTGGCATATAAGAAGATGGATACCAATTAGCAATCCAGAACTCCTTTCTTTGTTTCTTTCTCTGTGTCTCAACACCTTGCTTATCTTTTGGAATGCGTCTTTCGAGAGTCTATTGTGTGTTCGGATCTCGGTGTCACATTATCCATCCTCTGTTAAAACTCTTCCCAGGTATTTGAAATTTTGCATCTGCTTGATATTGACATGTCCCATTTGTAACTAGCATCTTGGGCTTTTTCTCTTGATGATGGCCATAGTTTCTAAGTCTTTTTTTCTCTCGCCTTTTCCTTGACCTCTTCTTGCATATCTCACTTGATTTCTCAAAATCGGTCATTTTTCGGCCCGACATAGACAAGATTGCTATTTGACCTACCGCCCTGTCAAAGAGATCCTGTAGAATTAATTCCGACTTGGCCGTCAATACAGTGTCATCTTATATTATATTGTTATATATATATATAATTATTATATCATTATAAGAATTTCTTGTTGAATACTCGGTCCGTCCATGGAATTTTAAGTACTTTTCTGTAGAATCACATTTCTTCTGCCTCTATTTTTTTGTTTCCTTATCGATGGGGAGAGTGTCCAGCATTCACTGGCATATAAGAAGATGGACATCACGTAGCAATCCAGAGCTTTTTTCTTTGTTTCTGACAAAATTTTCTGTTTACCCGCATCTTGCTTAGTTTTTGGAATACCTTTTTCGGAACTGTATCTTTGAAAATCATTGGTATTCTCACAAAATCGAAAAAAAAAGCGGATTATTCTTACAAGCGATTATATATTTCGTTCATATAAGTCAATACTTACCTGCCTTCAGCTGGGTGCTTTCAGAACATTATCAGCTAAAGACCCAGGAGGCCATTCACCCGCCACTTCATATCTCTCCTTCGGGAGTGGGTCCGGGATCATTATTCAGTACCTGTCCCCAAAATTGAAAGTGCCGAGGGAGATTGAACAAATTTTACACGGTATTGCCATTAAACCCACTTTAAACCTCAATCTTGTGTCACATTCAGTAGCAACGTGAAAAATCCCTATAAGTCAATCAACCATCACTCGATGGGACTACCTTTATCACCCTCTATCGACACCCTTTTTTCTCTTCATTTATATATCACACTCTTTCTCTTTCTTCCTCATCTTACTACTCATATGCAGAGGACATCTTTACCTGCCGTGAAAATCAGCACTTTAACGTTCTTTCTTTTCTAACCCCTCTCTCGTTTTTATGTGTTCTCTGTTGTGTATCTTTATCTTTCTTCACTGTTGATTTTTTTCTTTCTTTCTTTCTTTCTTTCTTTCTTTCTTTCTTTCTTTCTTTCTTTCTTATTTCCAAGTTCTTGTCTGATATCTTCTGTATAATCCGATGACTGTTTCTTGGTCAACCAAAGTGAACAGAAAATGCACTCTGATGGATAAACTTTCCCAATGTTGAAAAGCTTTTAATCTCACTATCAGCCCGGCAAGAAAGTGCTCATGTTCTGAACTGTTCCGGATTCGCCTCACAATTGTGTGAATGGCTACAAACTAAGGTTCGTATACAAATTTATATACAGGATCTATCTATCTATCTATCTATCTATCTATCTATCTCTATCTATCTATCTATCTATCTATCTATCTATCTATCTATCTATCTATCTATCTATCTAAGTCTCTTTGTATGTATGCATGTATATATCTCAGTTTGTTCGTATCTATCTATCTATCTATCTATCTATCTATCTATCTATCTAAGTCTCTTTGTATGTATGCATGTATATATCTCAGTTTGTTCGTATCTATCTATCTATCTATATCTATCTATCTATCTATCTAGCTAGCTAGCTATCTCTGAAATCTATTCGTATGTATGTATGTATGTATGTATGTATGTATCTATCTATCTATCTATCTATCTATCTATCTATCTATGTCTCTTTGTATGTATGTATGTATGTTTGTATGCATGTATGCGTGTATATATCTCAGTTTGTTCGTATCTATCTATCTATCTATCTATCTATCTATCTATCTATCTATCTATCTATCTATCTATCTAGATCTGAAATCTATTCGTAATAATGTATGTATGTATGTATGTATGTGTCTCTCTATCTACAGGAATACCTCGATTAGTGCGGCTAATGTGTACATCGGTAAATATTAAAAAAATCAATTTTCAATTACTATGGTTAAACTGAAGAATGTTTGATTCCACTAATCGAATTTTGGTACATGAAAATTTTAGCGCACTAATCGAGGGCTTCCTGTATCTATGTACACCCGCTGGTATGTATGTATGTATGTATGTATGTATGTATGTATGTATGTATCTATCTATCGTTTTCTTTTGCGATTCATCTTGTGGTCTGTTTGCCCTTCACACACGCCGTGGGGACAGCTTATCAAATTTCTAAGTGATTTAACCCCATTTAAAATAACACCATCAAAGGTGCCATTAATCTCTTTCCAACCGGTGCCCCATCCCTCCAGCCAAAGACAGGGGCACCTTTTCTCGACACTCACAGCCTGGGTTCCGCCGCATGCATTTGCTCCGGAATTTCAGCATCGACACGTAACCCCCAGGCACTGAAGAGTCTGTTTTCTTCCGATGCAGGGAATAGATTACAAGCAGAACAAACTGATCTCAATCTACGTTTATCTCTTGCCATCCAAATCTCACTTTCCCTTCATGTGTGTGTGTGTTTATATATATATATATATATATATATATATATATATATATATATATATCGATAGATAGATAGATAGATTGATGGATAGATAGATATAGATAGATATAGATAGATTTGAACACACTTAAAGTTAGTCAATGTCAATATAATAATAGTTTCAGTACTATTCATAAAACATTAAAAAAAACTTCCAAATAAAAAAAAAGCGTTAAAATAACCATGTCTGTGCAAGGCATTAAAGCCACTAAGATACAAGAAAAAGAGAAACATTAAGAAGCGAGAACAATAGAAGAGTAATCAAGAAGAGAACGGATAGCGATTGGTATTGCATTTAAATCAAAATTGGCTGGGAAGTATGAAACCGGAAGAGAGTTCCACAAACGAGAAGTGTGTGAAAAGAAACTATTGGCATTTATATCTAGCCCTTTCAACTGCAAAATGAGGAGACCTAGCCGCCAATCTAGTACTGCGCTTAAATCCATAAGGTCTAGGGACCATAGCAGAGAGTTCACCCGAACGATTACCATGAAAGTATTAATAGAAAAGTCACAGGGAAGTTACATTACAGCTGTGGGAAACTGACTGAAGCCGAGATGCCAGTCCACGACCAATAATATTGCTGATACTTCTTTGGATTTTAACAAGAATCTCTAAATATACAGCAAGGGCACCGGACCATATGTGGCAGCAATATTCAAAGTACGAAAGAATGATAGATTTAGAAATCTGTAAGATTCAGGAGAGAAAAATTGTTTTACACAACACAGTGAACCACCTTTCTTAGCAGCTGACCTAGCAATGGATTCAATATAATCTTTCCACTTCATGCCAGCCCGAGAAGGCACAACAACTCACTGTTGTTAATACTGTTTATTATGAACAGAAGATTTACTTCAATATTTGTATCTATAAAAATAATGTAAACACACACACAGATATATATATATATATATATATATATATATATATATATATATATGTGTGTGTGTGTGTGTGTGTGTGTGTGTGTGTGTATTTAGGCAGTAGATTTTAATTCAAGCAGGTTTGGTTGAATAAACTAGACATATTATTTCTATTTTTTTAATCCTCTCAAATTCACGGATCAGTTTCTTAGTATTGTTATTAAAATGATTAAGAAAGATGCTGTAGTTTTGGTTATTTCTTTTATTTTCCCAAGTACTTTCAATTTCACTCAAGATCGTCTTCAGGGGTGAATGCTAAGACAAAGATTAATGTAATTGAGAATTGTGATATTTTTGTAAATGCGCATGAAACGCTCAATTTAAAAGTTAACGTTAAAAATATGTAAGAGAGGTAACTTAATTTATATTTTTTATTATTATTGTTATAAAATACTCAACCTGCAATTTTAAAAAAAAGTTCAATTTGAGTATCCCCAAACGTTGCTTTTATGGCATTTTAAAACATTGTTGCTATACCCATAATTAAGCTTATTCAGTGTTGGTTGCATTTTTGCTATAGAGAGCACTTCAAGAATTTAAACTCTTTTTTCGACGTTGAGTATACTTGTATTGTCAATTAATATTTCTCTAAAACGTGAATGTGGATAGGAATGTTCTTTTAAATGTGCAATAGAACTTGAATCCGCTATGTGTATTGTAAGTATTCTTCATATATATATATATATATATATATATATATATATATATATGTGTGTGTGTGTGTGTGTGTGTGTGTGTGTGTGAAGAAATATAGTTTTAAGTTGTGCTATATTCATGGGATAAAGTGCTCAATATCAGAGGTAGAGCATATGCAAATATAAAAGTGAACATTGAAGTCAACACTCAGATGCGACAGACTGTTTCATATTAGACGCAATCGTCAGGTGAGTGTTGACTTCACTATTCACTTTATATATATATATATATATATGAGATTTCCAAGCAATGACAAACTCGTGCATACGAGATGCTGGAAGCGAAAATCGCACCGCAACTCATGACATCACACATGACCACGCGAAAGTGAAAACGAGAAGTATTAAGTATGGGAAACCGTTGGTATAAACTAATGGCTTCTGTTATCAATTATAGGTATTTAAGAATATTTGTGGAGATTTCATAAAGATGGCAATTACATTACAATATATTCAACAATACATGGACAAAACAATAATGATAGTATGTCTACCATACTTAATACTTCTCATTTTCACTCTCGTGTGATGTCATGAGCTGTGGTGCGATTTTCGCTTCCAGCGTCTCGTATTTTTTTTTTAAGCGTTTCACCCCAAGCTAGGCGGGAAGCCACTAGGACGCAAGAGGTTACAGAAAATTTCGAGCAAAATCAGATAGGAGTGATAGAGGAAAGGATGAGGAGAAGGGTAGTAGATAGATCAAGGCAACTGGAGATGTCGATTGACATGCCATTTGAATAGCTGGAGATTATAGCTCTCAGGGAAACTGCTAGTTTGTCGTTGCTTGGAAATCTTCTATGCAAACGAAAACAGACTATCATTATTGTTTTGTCCATGTACTGTTGAATATATATATATATATATATATATATATATATATATATGCTATAATATTTTTAGTGCCGCATCAACTAAGGATTATTCTTAAAATAGGGAACATTTTGTTAATAAGAAAACCGGATACGAAAGTATCATCACGATTAAAATAGAAAAAAAAAAAACGTTTCGTCAGAAAATATCGTCGGAATTACAATTAAACTACTGAAAGGAAAAATCACGTTGCAATAGATCTTAAAGATTTTAACATCTTGGAGGCGGTTGTAATCAACCCACCGCGTTCGGTTTTGTGTAAGCAGAAAAAACTTAAACATAAATTGTCACTTGTCGGTACGTCCTTAATTCATTCTGGTTGAACTTAAAATTTTTTTTGTCTCTTCCCAGTTATTCATTTAAGATCTATTGCCAGGAGATTTCAGTAGTTTAATTTTAATTTCGGCATTTCTTCTGACAAAGCGTCGGACGAAATGTACCTATAATCTTTCTATTTTTAATCAAGGCGATACTTTTGCATCCGGTTTTTGATTAATAAAATGTTCCCTATTTTTAAGAATAATACTTGGTGTGCTACTAAATATCTTTTCGCATATTTTCTGGGTCGTTATAACCACAATATTATTAATAATCTCTAAAATACCATCCGTTTGAGAAGTAAATTACGGTCCCTTCGGTCTAAAGTTAAATTTCTGAATTCTTGTTCCCAGAGTCATGTTATTCCTGGGTATATTTCTAGGCTCATCTCTGAGATCAAGTGCCGCAGTTCTAATAATATTGAAAGAGCATTTTTTAGAGATGAAATCCTGTATTACTCTTATTTATTAAATTCTGTAAGAATCTAGTACCAATCACTGTGGGCATTGTTTGAACTAACTGTCCTTTTCCGATAAATTCCGTTTTTTCGAAATATCTGTCCAAAGGTGATACTTTCTTCAGTAAGGGAACCAACGCAAACAATTTAACGCATTTGAATTTTCTGATTAAAAGAAAGTTTGGTGTGTCTATTATAATAGCTAAGCATATTATTAACTTACCTGATTACTACCTATCTGATAAATTGGTCCTGTCCTGAGGTTTGGATTTTTGTATCTTCCCTAAGAAGATCGCTAAAATCGAAGTCTTTAGAGAATTCGAATTACTGTTTTCTCAATTAGAAAAACATATGCCGACTTTTGCTGAGAATGTAAGCCATCTTAGGGCGTCGTCTGAATGAACTTGCATATAGTTTTGTAAATTCGCCTATCATTTTAAGTCGTCCTTTTGGCAGAAGAACCACTATCAGACGGCCTATTCTTAAAATCTAGGACCGATATTTATATAAGCAAACCTGATAAAAAATCTGGTGTGTTGATTCTGAATTATTTCGATTATGTGACTAAAATGCCAATTATATTAGACACTCGTAAATTTCAGAAATTAGGTGACACTTCATTGGATAACACCTCGAAAACGGAAATTAAATTTCAGAAATGATTACTCCAACTTCACAAGTAAACGTTCCTCTCTAAACAGATATATGATAGAATTCGACCTGGTGGCTCCAAGCGTCCTAGAATGTATAGTTTACCAATGTTCCACTCTTGCCCATTTTGTATATGGTGGGTTCTGTTCAACATGAGTTGGCTAAATGGCTGGTTGAAATTCTTGAGTCTGT